GAGACGTACATGTCTGAGGGAAAATAAAAAGTATGAGGGATACTGCAAGATGTATGAGGTATAAAAAATACAAAAAGGGCGATAATAAAGTATGAAAAGTAATTAGATGAGGGATGTGCCATGAAGGGTATGCGGGCAATCATGAACATGGAATATGAAAGAAGAAACCAGAAATACCAGACATACCAGATGTAAATATGAGGGTTAGGACAAGAAATAAGAGTGAAGATAACATAAGTATGAGGGATGAAACAAAAAATATGAGTGAAGATACCATAAGTATGAGAGATGATATCAGATGTATGAGCGATGAGACAAGAAATATGAGTAAAGTTAATTGAAGTATGAGGGATGACACATGAAATATGAATGAAGATACAGAAATATGTGGGATGAGACAAAAATATGAGTGAAATGAGGGATGAGACAAGAAATATGAGTAAAGATAACAGAAGTATGAGGAATGAGACACATAATATGAGTGAAGATACCATAGGTATGAGGGATGAAACAAAAAATATGAGTCAAGAGACCATATGTATGAGGGATGAGACTAGAAATATCAGTGAAGATACCAGAGGTATGAGGGATGAGACAAGAAATATGAGTGGAGATACCAGAGGTATGACGGATGAAAAAAATGTGTGAAGATACCAGAAGTATGAGAGATGATTCCAGATGTATGAGGGATGAGACAAGAAATATGAGTGAAGAGATCAAAAGTATGAGGAATGAGACAATAAATATGAGTGAAGAGATCAAAAGTATGAGGAATGAGACAATAAATATGAGTGAAGAGACCAGACATATGAGGGATGAAACAATAAATATGAGTGAAGATACCAGAAGTACGAGGGATGAGACCAGATGTATGAGGGATGAGACTAGAAGTATGAGAGGAGAGACAAGCATTATGAATTAAGAGTTGTAAGGGAGATGCAGGCGTGAATTTTGAGGATAAAACTATGAGTATTGATGAAAATAAAAATATGAGAGCTTATTATATACTTTGTATGGTCGAGCTATAAAAACTAATCTACATTTCTGAGGATGTTGACAGAGGACCATGAACTCGAGTTATAGGACAATTAAGTCGAGTTATAGGTCGTGATGTGTTATTTCAAAGCCACACCAGATGTTAGGTTAATACATGTGTTTGTTCTGAATTAATTCTATCCTCTATTGTAGATATTGTAAAATTTAACATATAGATCTAGTTATGAGGAAAAATACCAGTGATATATAAAAAAAAATTATGAGTAGCAAGGCAAAGTACTAGGAGTATGAACAAAAGGTTATGAGTTATAAGACAAAAAGTACTAGGGATATTAAAAAAGTTAAGAGTTTTGAGACAGATAGTAGTTTGAGTATGATAAAAAAAAGATAAAAAAATAGTTATGAGTAATAAAGCAGAATGTATCGGAGATATGAAAAAAGTAGAGTTATGAAGTATATAGTACAAGGGGTGTGAAAAAAGGTTATGAGTAATGAGGCAGAAAGAGAAAGGGTATAGAAGAAGATACGGGTAATGAGGCAAAAAGTTTCAGGGTATGAAAAAAGTTATAGGTAATGAGGCAGTAAGAAGAAAAGGGTGAAAAAAGTATAAATAATGAGGCAGAAAGTACGAGGGGTAAAATATGTATAGGATAATGAGTCTAAAAGTAGAAACTGTATGTAAAAAGTATGAGTATCGATGCAAGAGTAGTTGGTATTTATAAAACAAAAAGAAGAAGGGGTAAAAAAGGCAGACAGTAATAGGTATGTAAAAACATGAGTATTGAGGCAGAAAGAAAAAGGGGTAAAATGTGTGGGTAATGAGGTAGAAAGTAGTAAGGGAATGATAAAAAGCTATGAGTAACAAGGAAGTACTAAGAAGAGGTATACAAAGTTATGACTAATGAGACAAAAAGTAGAATAGGTATAAACATGTAATGAGTAATTAGGCAAAAAGTAGTTAGGATATGACAAAAATATGAGTAATGATGCAGAAAGTAGTTAGGATATCAAAAGGTATGAGTAAAAAGGTAGAAAGTATAAAAGGTATACAGAGGTTAATAAGTATGAGTAATGAAACAGAAAATAGTTAGGATATGAAAAAGTTATGAGTAATAAGGCAGAAAGTAGTAAGGATATGAAAAAGAGTTATGAGTAACGAGGTAGTAATAAGATTGGGTATACATAGTTATGAGTAATGATGCAGAAAGTAGAAAAGGTATAAAAAAGTGATTAGTAATGAGGCAGAAAATAGTGAGGATATGAAAAAAGTGATGAGTAATGAGGCAGAAAATAGTGAGGATATGAAAAAAGTGATGAGTCATGAGGCAGTTATACGAAGGCCGGGTATATAAGTTATGAGTAATGAGGCAGTAAAATAAGGAAGCAGGAGTATATAAAGTAATGAGTAATGAGGCAAAAAGTATGAGAGGTATGATGAGAGGTTATGAGGCAGAGAATTATTTAGGGTATGAGACCAAATATGTGAGTTTTGAAACAAGATTCAATATTTACAAGGCATACAAAAGTAAATTACTGTAAATGCGGATTTTCAATATTTGATCAAACTGTTATACTCTACTAACTGTTTCATTCATGAAGGTTATTGTTTCATTTTTTTTTAATGACTTATCGATTTTATCCCAGCGAACACATATTCTCCCGATAGTGGGACATATAGTGCTACATGTATTATAGTATACATAGCGTGACACTTTGAAAACTTTAACCTGTACTGTAAAAAGTTTATGATTCATGTCCTTTTAACATACTTTGTAATTAATGTAACCTTTTGCTCTCACGTGAAGACCTCATGCTAACAGCATGTGTTCTAATTCAAACCGTTTTTATGAAAAATAAATGAATGATTTACATCAAACAACTTGAGTCATAGGCAATATTAAACACGTTAGTTATAGAAAATTTGGTAAAAGTATTCAACGTAGTCCTAATAGTTAGAAAGTGGTAAGAAAATCAGTAGATATTGTCAAATTTGCTTATAAAAATAATTTACAGTATGTGAATCTAAATATTCTAAATTCTTGATGCATTTTCTATGAAGCTTGATATTTCTTTTAAGGGTCATATGCAATCATTTTCATTTACAAGTTATAATGTCTGAACAAAATCAGATAACTCTCCCCCCCCCCCCCCCCCCCCCAAAAAAAAATCAAATAAAAAATTCGTTTATTGCTTTAGTATAAACCTTACTCAGTCCGGTTCTGAGGTGCCGCCTGTTAAGCTGGTGCGATATCATAACCGGAAGTGACATACCTTAATCCTTATCGAAATATTGAATATTATGGTTACTCTAGGCATATAGAGACGTTAATTATAGAAAAATAATACCGTCAACAACAACAACAACAAAAAAATCAATAAAAAACAGCAGCAACACGATTTTGGATCTAAACCTTATAATAAGAGGCTTATCGAAAACCGACTGTACTCCAGCTGCATTTTCCTGTGCATCTGACATTTTACATGAACTGAAACTAAATCAGTTTGAGGACATAAGCAATATATGCGATACATTAATTGTTTAATAAGAGATGCGTAGACACGTAAACCAATATTATTGGCGTGTAAAATTCAATATATTTTTTTTTTGAAAAAAAAAAAAAAATAAAATAAATAAAAAAATAAATCGAAAATGGGTAGTGCCAAGCGAAAACATTGCCCTGGCACCCCCTGCCGTGTAAATTTATTACAATACAAAAATTTGCGCATGAAAAACCGGTGTATCACATTGTCCTCATTTCGCGGTGTGAAAGCTCTGAAATGCCGTCCAGAATATACAGGCCAATCCTGCAGAGAGCGTTTTTATGCACTAATATAAATATATCCTGTCACTTTTGTTGATGTCTTTGTAGAAGTACTTTGTTCCATATATTGTGCGGGCAATGTTGTGGTTTTGTCATAGCGAAGCTTGTTCAAAACATTTACTTTTAAAAAAGAATTGGTGTTGTTCATACGAATCAAAAGCTCATTTTTTGCCCGAAAGTTTTCTAAGATTCTTTAAGATTGCTTAAGCTTGAAAACTCAGGAGAGCAACACATAACTTATAAAATCGCCCCCTTGTAATGACATAGAAATTATATGTCAGGTAACAGGTGTACGGGTCAAACATATGTGCGTATATAATTAAAAAAATAATGTGTGGGTTTTACATTTATCTATATAAGGCCTTTTTGAAACGGGATAATTACAGTGTTTCTTCAAGTTTGTTGCTTCTACAACTTGTGTGTGAACATTTTATTTCTAACATGGCAGGGAAACTTATTCTCCAGAAAGTGGTGAGTTGAAAATTTTAATATATTTATTGCATTTCTTTCAATCTTTGTGATAATTAATGTGTTTCTTTTTCTTTTGAATTATTTTTAAATATCTCTTATTCATGCAAACGTATTAAGTGGAAAGAACTGTTACACATTAGATATAATTCTTTTGTATCATAGTTTCGGGACTTTTCTGTTGAAAATTGTCAGAGTTAAATCGTATACATATACATATACATGCACAGTGCGTTAACTGGAGTGTAGATATTAGTTGCCCGCACTCCAGAGCATGCCCATTGATTTATTTATTTCTGGGATTTACTTATTGTGACGACAGAGAATGGGATAGCGACAGAAATATCATATTCAGATGCTCGTTATTTTTTTTATTTTCATTTTTTTGGGGGGGGGGGGGGGGGTGGCAGGGTGTCATTTTGTGACAACAGGGAACGTGTTTTTTTTTGCCTATGATACAAAAAGAGAAAGAACATCAAAACACTCGGCAATCTGAATTATACTCGGGGCTACGTCCCCTCGTACAAATCAGATAGACACATGCTTCGATGTCCTTCCTCTCACTTATTATCCTCTCAATCTCTCATATTTTTACGGGTTTTATGATAGAAGTTATAGAAGTTCGAAGTTATAAAAGTTATTCTGATATCGTATTTAAAGAAATAAAAGAATTAATATCTTTGAATTTTTAAACCTGAGAATTGGTGCAAAATTTTCAAAATCAAGGCATTTTAAGTACATTATCAACATATGTAGCTCATTCATAAATAGTCACCTTTTAATGCACGTTTTTCTTCTTTATTTTTTTAAACTTAAAAAACGTTAAAAATCTATTTTATACAAATATATATCGTTTTCAAATGTCTCGGATGATAGGTAAAAATAACTGAACGCATTGTGTTGTGTGAAGGTTAAAAAAAAAAAAAAAAAAACATATGTCGTGTATCGGTTTTTACTATGCGTAGATAAGGGGTGTCGCGTTTTATTCTTTGTCGTTTTTTTTAGCCTAACACCAGTTAGAAAATCAAATAACCGGTAACCGAGGTTAGCTGAAAATTTTACACATTTTAGGCTGATTTTAAACATTTTTTTTTCTTTTATGTCAAGATATGAAGTTTTTTCCTTCTATTATTCCCCGATCTTTATATTCTGTGCGGTAAGGTCTAACGGACAACATTTACCACAAAATAGAATATGTAATAGTTTTTGAGTACAACAAAATACACACAAAATGTGCTATTTTTTATCTAAATACAAAAAAGTTAATGTTGAAAATCAAAGAATTCTTTAGTGCGGACGGTTTTAAATGTTTAACACGGTTATTTAAATAGAACGCCGTTTAAACGCTTAACATTTTTGCTAATCGTTACACACCTAGTGGTAGATGTAAAGATAAGTAAGTGTGTGAATCAATCAATATTAAATCGGAGATCGATATTTGATCGGAGATCGATATTAAACACTCAGCAGGACATTGGCACTTTGCCACATTTCAGAAGTTAGTTACAATTTCAGTGTCCTACCGGATGCACTGCATTGTCCTAGTCTGTCTTCGTGCCAAATTCACTCATTTAATATAAGTCACACAGGTGGTCATAGCCTACGTTTGTAATATATGCGAGTTTTTCAAAATAAAGGTAACATACCGTTTTCAATTTATTGTTTAAAACCTCATTTCACTGCTGCCGCTTGGATGTTGATGCCTGATAATTAACTTTTCTGTTGCAGATACTGATGATTGTAGTTTTTGGTTCGGCTAGAGCAACGCATAATTGCGATAAGAATTTTCCAGATGTATGATTTTTTATATACTTTTTTCGACTAAGTAAGACCAAAACAATTTTTAGTAAATCTTCTTATGTTTGAATTAAATCCAATTTCAACAAATTTGAGACGAATTTAGAAGTTATATAACAAATTTGATTGGTTCTTGAATAAAAGTGATCATAACACACAAGCATAGTTCTAGGTCTTTTTGTGCATTGTCTGTTCGAAGCAAATCATGGCTAACAAAAGTATATCATTTCCATACTTTAATATATGTATTAAATTCATAACTGCTTTTTTAAAACAGGATTGTCCGGCTGGCGAGTTTTGTGCTGCTCCCGGCAGTTCTTCCAATCCAAGTCAGTTCAAATGCTACACCTGTAAGTTCACTCATATTGTCACCATAATCCAGTAATGGGTTAACTAATCTATATAAAAATAGTTGTAAATCTGTTACTACGCTAAGGTGACTCTATGATATTTATTTTGTTTACTTTTGAATCAATTTCTGTTTTGGTCTTGCACAGATAATAAAAATCGTATATTCTTTCTTGATTTAATTTCTTCAAGTAACGTTTCTTAATATATGTATAGTTAAACCAAGTTATCGCTCTTTGTTATGACAGCCGATATAATGTTATATGCAGAGATAACAAACACCTTAAATTTACAAACCAACTTTTCATCCTGCAATTTAAATCTTTTTTGGAGTCATCCGTTAAAAAGTATGCACTCTTTTAAAGTCAAATACGCGTTAAACGAACTCCACTGAGGTCTAACCCTAAACCCTAAAATATAAAATTTGAATTTCTTACATAGAACAGCGTGGGCAAATAAAAAATAAAGATATACAAAAGATAATTCAAAAATATGCTAAAACATGAATTGAAATCCTATTTTGTGCTGTTCTTAGCCCGGTTTGAGTAAAAAGCGTTGCAAATTTGGGTCATTTTTCACAATAAGAAATTTTTCTGGAAAAATGGGGGGGCCCAAAAAACCCCGGGAATTTTTGATGCAGGCCAAATTGGGCTGACATACATAAACAAACAAAAAAACAAAAAAAATAAAAAAATACAAAAACATAAAAAAAAACATTTAATTTTTGGGAAATTTCCGTCATGTTCAAAAAAAACCTCATTGGAGTCTTTTTAATGCCGAACATTATTTTTTTTTTCGTAATGAAAGTACTCAAATTGCCTCTTCAGGTCAATAATGTTTTGTATTTATGTTTTAAAGAATCTTTTATTTATATCTCTAGGCCCATGCAGCCTGACGAGTCAGTGTAGGTTACAGGGTGGCAATGTCGTGTGTAACTGTACTGGGTCGGGATATACAGGATCAACATGCACCACTGGTAAGATACTACCTTTGAGCATGTCTATACACCTGTATGTCCGTTGGTTTGTCCGACTTTCTTGATTTTCATTTTCACTCTTATTATGTTATTTGCATTTTCAACAAACTACTAGTATACTGTGACTTTAACTTTTGCTAATACAACATGAGTATGAGATATGTTCATAACGTTTCAATCATCTAGTTTACACAATTTTAATTATTAACTCAATCCAAGCTTAATTGATTATTAATTTGCATACATAATGAATATACTACTTGCTTTCGAAATTTAAATTACTAACTCTTAACTTGCTTAAGACTAAAGGGATTAGCTTTTACATATCCTTGCAGTGGTTCTAAACTGTTGGCTAATAAACTTCGAATTCTCCCCTTAATTGACAATGGGCGATTCCAAATAAATGCGAACTGGGCAAATTTCCTAAGATAGCGCTAAAAGTGTTGCACATTCAAGTGCACGTCTGCATTGTGTTTCAGTGATACAATTACAAGTTATTGCAGATGTCCAGTTAGTTTCACCACATGAAATAACATGCTAATTCTATTCATTTCTGATGAAAATGAAATACTTCAAGTGTATTAGACACAATGAATATATTTTGTCTGTGCTTTTTACATGTATCAGATATAGACGAATGTGCAACTGGTGCGGACAATTGTGATGATAACGCCCAATGTACAAACACAAACGGAAGTTTCACGTGCGCCTGTAACGCAGGATACTCTGGTAATGGCGGTTCGTGCGTAGGTAAGTTATTATTGATGTTATTATAAACCCACAACACATTTCGGCCTTGACTAAATCACGCACGTAAAAGTCCGTGACTAGATGTATTATAAGACCGAAATGGACCTCTTTGATAATGTCTGTCAAAAACTTAGAATAATAAGTATAAATATTTATTTACCCTGACCTGCTGTAACAAAAAGTGGTTTGCCATTGCCACCAGTACCGGCCAGCAACCAGCCTGTATATCTGTTCAGTATTGCTATGGTTTTGATAATTATGTTAGTAGGCCATGTTTTGTATATTCACATTGAACTTCTTTAGTCAAGAAAAGAAAGGAATTATCGGATTTCAAGGAACAGAAATATTTCAAATTTCTTTACAAAAACGTGTTCTATGTTGATTATGTAAAAGTACTCAGAGACCTTTTCATAACTTTTCAGTATTCTCTCATACACATATTGCATTATTAACTCAGTCCTAGCTTTCGTTAGAAATAATTTACATATTGAATGAAGTACTTCTTGTAGTTGAACCATGAACTTGCTTGAAACGAAATGTATTAACCTTAACATTTCCTTGCAGTGGTTCAATACTATTGTCTCACTTACTTCTTAATTTTCCCGACAATTCAAAAAAAAAAATAAAAAAATGAGAGCTAGAAAAGTTCATCCAAGAAATTCGGCTGGTTTAAAGCTTTAACCGTTACGCGTGGAGTAAAACATATCCAAATATCAAGCGTCCGTGCATATTGTATTTCAGTGTTTTAATCAATTGTACATAAGGACTGCAAATTATTACAGAAAAATTTGAAGTTCCTCAGACACTGTGAAAATATCATTGATTTTTTTTACATGTATCAGATATCAACGAATGTACCACTGATACGGACAATTGTGATGAAAATAACGCCGTATGTACAAACACAGTCGGAAACTTCACGTGCGCCTGTAAAGCAGGATACTCTGGTAATGGCGTTTCGTGCGTAGGTAAGTAATTATTGATGTTATAAACTCACATCACATTTCGGCCTTGGCTACATGTAGTATAAAAAATTTATGGACCTTCAAGTTTTTATCATTATCAACCTAAACTGAAGATAGCAGGTACAAAAATATTTCAAATTTCTTTACAAAATCGTGTTCTGTGTGGATTATTCAAAAGTACTTTTTGACCTTTTCATAACTTTTCATAACTTTTCAGTAGACTCTCGTACACATTTTGCATCAATTTACGCAATCCTAGCTTTTGCTAAAAATAATTTGTATATTCATTGAAGTACTTCATGCATTTGAACAACGAACTTGCTTGAAACGGAACGGATTTACCTTTACATATCATTGCATATATATCATTGCAGTGGTTCTAAACTGTTGGATAATTATCTAAAATTGACAATAGACAATACCAAATTAATGGACACTAGGCAAGTTCTCGTAAGAAATCTAGGAAGTTTAGTACTTAAGCTGTTGCGCATTCAAGTGTACAATGTCATCTTCATTTTTATTCAGTTATATAATTGCTATAGTAATTGCAGAACTCACGTCGAGTTATTTTCACTACATGCAAAAACGTGTTTCTTTTATTCATTTCTGTTAAAAATAAAATACTCCAAGTGCATTAGACACAATGAATATATTTTTGTCTGTGCGTTTTACATGTATCAGATATAGACGAATGTACCACTGATGCGGACAATTGTGATGATAATAACGGCGTATGTACAAACACCGACGGAGGCTTCACGTGCGCCTGTAAAGCAGGATACTCTGGTAATGGCGAAATCTGTGAAGGTTAGTAATTATTGATGTTTAAATCTCATGGAGCGTTTTGGTCTAGGCTAAATGTAGTATTAAACATTTATGGACCTTCAAGTTTTTATCATTATCAACCTAAACTGAAGATAGCAGGTACAGAAATATTTCAAATTTCTTTACAAAAACGTGTATTGTGTGGATTATGTAAAAGTACTTTTTGACCTTTTCATTACTTTTCAGTATTCTCTCGTACACATTTTGCATTAATTAACGCAATCCTAACTTTTGCTAGAAATAAATTGCATATTCATTGAAGTACTTCATGCATTTGAACAACGAACTTGCTTGAAACGGAACGGATTGACCTTTACATATCATTGCATATATATCATTGCAGTGGTTCTAAACTGTTGGATAATTAACTAAAATTGACAATTGGCAATACCAAATTAATGGACACTAGGCAAGGTCTCGTAAGAAATCTAGGAAGTTTAGTGCTAAAGTTGTTGCACATTCAAGTGTACATCTTCATTTTTATACAGTAATATAATTGCTATAGCAATTGCAGAACTCACGTCGAGTGATTTTCACTACATGCAAAAACGTGTTTCTTTTATTCATTTCTGTTAGAAATAAAATACTCCAAGTGTATAAGACACTATGAATATATTTTCGTCTGTGCTTTTTACATGTATCAGATATCAACGAATGTACCCTTGGTACGGACAATTGTGATGAAAATAACGGCGAATGTACAAACACCGTCGGAAACTTCACGTGCGCCTGTAAAGCAGGATACTCTGGTGATGGCGTTTCGTGTGAAGGTAAGTAATTATTGATGTTTAAATCTCATGTAGCGTTTTGGTCTAGGCTAAATGTAGTATTAAACATTTATGGACCTTCAAGTTTTTATCATTATCAACCTAAACTGAAGATAGCAGGTACAGAAATATTTCAAATTTCTTAACAGAAACGTGTTCTGTGTGGATTATGTAAAAGTACTTTTAGACATTTTCATAACTTTTCAGTATTCTCTCGTACACATTTTGCATTAATTAACGCAATCCTAAATTTTGCTAGAAATAAATTGCATATTCATTGAAGTACTTCATGCATTTGAAAAACGAACTTGCTTGAAACGGAACGGATTGACCTTTACATATCATTGCATATATATCATTGCAGTGGTTCTAAACTGTTGGATAATTAACTAAAATTGACAATTGGCAATACCAAATTAATGGACACTAGGCAAGGTCTCGTAAGAAATCTAGGAAGTTTAGTGCTAAAGTTGTTGCACATTCAAGTGTACATCTTCATTTTTATACAGTAATATAATTGCTATAGTAATTGCAGAACTCACGTCGAGTGATTTTCACTACATGCAAAAACGTGTTTCTTTTATTAATTTCTGTTAAAAATAAAATACTCCAAGTGTATAAGACACTATGAATATATTTTCGTCTGTGCTTTTTACATGTATCAGATATCAACGAATGTACCACTGATGCGGACAATTGTGATGATAATAACGGCGTATGTACAAACACCGACGGAGGCTTCACGTGCGCCTGTAAAGCAGGATACTCTGGTAATGGCGAAATATGTGAAGGTAAGTAATTATTGATGTTTAAATCTCATGGAGCGTTTTGGTCTAGGCTAAATGTAGTATTAAATATTTATGGACCTTCAAGTTTTTATCATTATCAACCTAAACTGAAGATAGCAGGTACAGAAATATTTCAAATTTCTTAACAGAAACGTGTTCTGTGTGGATTATGTAAAAGTACTTTTAGACATTTTCATAACTTTTCAGTATTCTCTCGTACACATTTTGCATTAATTAACGCAATCCTAACTTTTGCTAGAAATAAATTGCATATTCATTGAAGTACTTCATGCATTTGAACAACGAACTTGCTTGAAACGGAACGGATTGACCTTTACATATCATTGCATATATATCATTGCAGTGGTTCTATACTGTTGGATAATTATCTAAAATTGACAATAGGCAATTCTAAATTAATGGACACTAGGCAAGTTCTCGTAAGAAATCCAGGAAGTTTAGTACTATAGCTGCTGCCAATTCAAATGCACATCTTCATTTTTATGGAGTTATATAATTGCCATAGTAATTGCAGAACTCACGTCGTATTATTTTCACTAAATGTATAAACGTGTTTCTTTTATTCATTTCTGTCAAAAATAAAATACACCAAGTGTATTAAACACTGAATATATTTTCGTCTGTGCTTTTTACATGAATCAGATATCGACGAATGTGCCACTAATACGGACAATTGTGATGCTAACGCCCAATGTACAAACACCGCCGGAGGCTTCACGTGCGCCTGTAACGCAGGATATTCTGGTAATGGCGTTTCGTGCGTAGGTAAGTAATTAATGATGTTTAAATCTCATGGAGCGTTTCGATCTTGGCTAAATGTAGTATTTAACATTTATGGACGTTCAAGTTTTTATCATTATCAACCTAAACTGAAGGTACAGAAATATTTCAAATTTCTTTACAGAAACGTGTTCTGTGTGGATTATGTAAAAGTACTTTTAGACCTTTTCATAACTTATCAGTATTCTCTCGTACACATTTTGCATTAATTAACGCAATCCTAACTTTTGCTAGAAATAAATTGCATATTCATTGAAGTACTTCATGCATTTGAACAACGAACTTGCTTGAAACGGAACGGATTGACCTTTACATGTCATTGCATATATATCATTGCAGTGGCTCTAAACTGTTGGATAATAAACTAAAATTGACAATTGGCAATACCAAATTAATGGACACTAGGCAAGGTCTCGTAAGAAATCTAGGAAGTTTAGTGCTAAAGCTGTTGCACATTCAAGTGTACATCTTCATTTTTATACAGTAATATAATTGCTATAGAAATTGCAGAACTCACGTCGAGTGATTTTCACTACATGCAAAAACGTGTTTCTTTTATTCATTTCTGTTAAAAATAAAATACTCCAAGTGTATAAGACACTATGAATATATTTTCGTCTGTGCTTTTTACATGTATCAGATATCAACGAATGTAACCTTGGTACGGACAATTGTGATGAAAATAACGGCGAATGTACAAACACCGTCGGAAACTTCACGTGCGCCTGTAAAGCAGGATACTCTGGTGATGGCGTTTCGTGTGAAGGTAAGTAATTATTGATGTTTAAATCTCATGGAGCGTTTCGGTCTTGACTACATCACATACTTAAAAGTCCATGACTAGATGTTGTTTAAAACATATATGGTCCTTTTTGATTATGTCCGTAAAAAGAATTTTGAATAATAAGTATAAATGATCTACTGTAACAAAACAGTGGTTAATCATTGCCAACAGTATACAGCCAGAAGCCAGCCTTTATATCCGTACAGTATTGTCATTCTTTATACCGTTGGTATGTCATTTATTTGTATTTCATAATTAACTTCTTTAGATATTTAATGAAAGTCTCAAATTTCAAATGAGTGCAAATGCATTTCACAAATCGGGTATGTTAAAATGTTCATAATTTTACCCCTAAATATCATATTGAAAATTAACTTGTGACAATATATTCTTTTTAAAAAATGTTATCTTATGGATTTCAACAAGTTATTGTAGAAAGCAGAGAAAAGAATAGTTCAAGTCTCTTTTAAGAAAAACTTTTTGTGTGGATCATAATTATGGAAATTTTATGTTTTACATTTGCAGACATCAACGAATGCGAAGCCTCACCCTCACCTTGTGACACTAATGCTTCATGCGAGAATAGCGTTGGAGGCTTCTCCTGTACATGTAACATTGGATATTCTGGGAATGGATCACCTGGCAACTGCGAAAGTAAGAAATAGTATATTACCTTTTTTATTGTCATAACAGTGTTTCCTAACATAAAATCTAAAGAGTTTTCAAATGAAACCTTAGATGAGGCGTATGCTTTATGCTATCCATTCAAAGTAAAAATGCGATTGCTAACAAGGTTCGATGTCACCAAATTAAGCTTAAACAACAGGTTTTTTTTCATTCCTCTTCTACAATAATTTCAAGACTAAATGTACACCTGGTAATGGACAATGCAACATCTACATACTCACGTCTTATGTAGTAAGGATATTTAATTATACACCACGTTTTAACCAATTCTGACATATCATCTTATATTTTACTAATTACGTTATAATAACTTTACATTACTATAATCATCAAGGGCGATCCCGCCTAAATTTGAATTCGCCTTAAATGTTTCTTGTTATCGTATTCTTACAACATGCAAATAAAAATCTACATAACTTACGGTATGAAAGTTAAAAGTAACTTTTTTCTCAACAGATATCAACGAATGCGAAACACTTTCCCAGCCCTGTCCAACTGGGTTCGACTGTAATGACGAAACGCCCGGGTTTTGCTGTAATCCATCTCAGTAACAGTACAACGCTCCGGACAGACGATTCAAGCCGAAATATCGACTGATAAAATATATGATAATGGACATGAACCCTGTTTTATTCTCTTTTTTCTTACATATACGTATATGACTACATTCAAATGCGCTTGCTTAACATCGATTTAAATTTCAATGTTGAAATAATGTTATATGTATGATGATGATCTTTCTTTCTATCTTTCATTTCTCTTTTCTATCAATTCTGACTTGGCATCCACAAATAAATTTCAAATCAATGCAGATGAGTTTATTGTATTTTATATGCATGTCTATGACATTGCCGATATTTTGTTGCGAATTCACAAAATTTTTATTCTATTTCACTCAGGTTTAAACTATGTGTAAAATTATGTTTTCTTTTGGTGATGCATTGTATATCTCGAACACATCTTCATTAAATCCATTTACCTACATGTACTCCGTATATTTTGAGCGGTCAATGACCGCAGATTTTAAATAAGTAAAAATAAATGCTCATCGACATGAGAATTCTATGGCTGCGTGATTTGGCTTCTCGTGCTATACTTACACTGATCCTATTTTGGTTCGAAACCGCGCAAGGACAACGAAATTCAAATTTCAATCACTTTATAATTAAGAGATGTGTCAAGCACACTTACTACATGTACTATAGAAAGGAAGTTCTAGCAAAAGGTATTTGTTGTACTTTTACCTTTACGAATTCGTCACGTGTGTCAACAAAGAGTACAGTTTCCTTCCTATGTGTGATATAAAAACATACGAACATTGCACAAACACGAACAATGGTGAAATTCCGAACCTCGTTTTTAGTAACCTCACAAAGTACCAACACAATTTTTGCATACATTTCACAAGGCATTGCTTGGTAAAGGAAGATGTACGTTTAGCCGACTTTATAATGAAAATGTAGACCTTATCTGAGCACAACTTGTCCGTAGATACGTACATCCGAACATGTTAAAGATTTTACAACTGAAATGTTTGAAAGGATCTTTCAGTACAGTACAAGTGATTAGGAGATCGGACATAAAAAATCAACTATTAGTTTAGACAATATGTTAGACATGACATTATAAGGTCATTAACTACTGTTCGCTACACTCGGAAGAAGTACAGGAATACATAATACTACTACTTATAATAATGAAACAACAAACTAATACACACACACACACACACACACACAAACACACGCACACACACGCACACACGCACACACACACACACGCGCGCGCGCACCAACACACACACACACACACACACACACACACACGCACACACACACACACTATAGGTCATCTTGCATCTCGGTAAACAGTAAATGGTTAAAAAAGGCAAAAGGACAAAAGCGGGAAATTATATACAAATGTGTGATTTCAAGTAGGATAAGCTGTTTGGTGATGCCGAGTAAGATTAGGGAGACCTCCTCGGCCCGCAATGTTTCCCGATTCGTTGGTCCAAATCATTATGTATTTCCCACCGTCATCAATTTATCATTATTCATTTTATCCTTTCATGCATGTTCATAATTTCATTCGTATTTTTCACATTCGAGTTGCATGACAATCTCCACGCAGTGATCTCCCCTTAATTTGTCGCAGTCTGTCAAGGCGCTTTACTGCTTTATGGAGCGCCTTTCTTGTATTTTGACGGTAATCTGGTCTAAGCGGTAACAATCAGCTCCAACCTCGCGACGGGATTGTTAAACATTGTTAAATATTTGCCTGAAATATTTGGACTTTTCATTAGTCAGTGCATATTCTGTATAAGTTTTTTTTTAATCTCAGTTTAAACTTGCCAGTGTGTGTGTGTGTGGGGGGGGGGGGTGTAGTCAACTGCCGGCCTTGAGTTTCCGTACCCAATGATTTCCCAGGCCAAGTCTTGGGACAAGACTTCTCGGAGGGGAAAATAATGAAAAGACGTTGGTAGAATGTCATAATACTGATAATGAGCATAATTTATGCAAAACTAAGTTAGTGAATTAACATATGTTTTCCATATATAAGGACACAAACCACTCTTGGTTGTGAGCTAGCCGTTCACCGACAAAGTTTGTGTGTCTAAAAACGTTACAATAACAACAAGCTTCAGTACGATCAGTCATATCAGATATTTAATTACAACCCGTTCCTATCTCATCAGACATACTATGCGCTGGCTATACCATATGTCCCAGGCTATCGACCTTTGTTTGGTCGTAAAGCCGCTACGGAGGACTTCTTAAGCTGGCTGTCTTCGTAGAAACAAAATTTTTCGCATTGTAGAACAAAGAAAGACAATTGTGTGATCTAGTTCGAGCGACGTGCACATCGAGAAGGAATGTCGGAGTAAAATAACATACATTGTCTAAGTACATGGTTTTATATACTAACTTCATGCTTGTCTATTGTTATACATACATAGTGTCAGAATGGTTTTTAGAAGACAGGCAGAAAAAGATCGTGATAAAATTTGCAAAATTAATTTCCGTTTATATTAAGATTTTCAAGATGATTTTTAAGAGCAACACAAATGTTTAAAAAAGATCCATTCATATATTAAGTGTGGTAAAATTTGACAATGGACTTCTTGTTGTTTTAAGTGATGTTAATTGAAATCCATTTCTTGCTTATATCTAGATACTTTTCATAATTACCATTTATGTCCTTATTTTTGTTTTCGATCGTATTAAAAATATATGATATAGACTTCGTTTATATTCAGTATTTGTGCGTTATTTTCAAAACATATTTATAAATCAGAATGAAATATTTGATGGCCGCATTTTTATGTGTTTTCTTTATGCGTATAGGGATAAGGCCCTCATGTGAGTAACACTCAGTTTAGTTGATTATTCAAAAATAATGTGATTATTTACCTAAAAAAAGAAGATTTTAGTACACGTGTATTAAATATCAGTTGGAATAAGTTAATTCCTAGATCAGGGGCCTGTAGGTATTAGGTGTCAAATGCCTAATAAAAGTATATACGTATTTACCTTTAAAAAATCGTAAATTAATTACATGTATTCTTTTGTGTTTTTTCTTATTTTTTTTGTGTCTTAAGGGTCTTTAAGTGAGGTTATATATTGTAACTAGAATAAAAACATGTTCATGATAAACAATAATTGTATGAAAAAACAAATAATATCTATCTTCTTACAGGTTTTGCCATGATTTAAGTATATGTGCATGTACATGTAAGGCTAACTTAACTTTAACAAATTATTTTCCATTTTTTGTACGAGTTTTGACATATATGTGTATATATTTTGTTTACGAGGTGTGTTCAAATATGAATGAAACTAGGCCAATATCTCGCTTTTAACCACGTTTGTGCAAAACGTTTGAAGGCTAACTAAAATGTTGTTTGCGTCCTTATATATGAAAAACATTCCCTTATGTTATTTCACCAACTTAAGTTTTTGCATTGTTACATAATAACAGTTTTATATAATTTGAAATATTTTGGTAACAGCAAGAGTTACCTCTATATATTCTTCTTTCTTGAAAATTGGTTCCGCCTATTAATTTTCGTCTATTTCCGTGATACTTCCATATATGGAAGTTGCAAAATCGTTTACTACGGAATATTACAAATGTTAATCGCATTAGAATGTAAAAGGAAAGTGTGGCGTTATGTCAACATAAGAGTGTCAGATGCACAGCATGAAACGTGTTGTGTACGTTCTATCGTTTACATTTCTACGTGTCGCAAATTTGAAGTTATACATTTCTAAATACAGTTTGCAATTTATCTAAGTTGCATGTTTACAGCTTCCATTTTATCAACCTTAAACTTTCGTTTAATTAACATCGTTTTGCAGAAGAAAATGAAAACCCCCATTCTTTCCAATTTATAAATGGCTCAGTACTATAGAAAATGAAAACCCCCATTCTTTCCATAAGTGGCTCAGAAATATTTAAAAAAAATCTGGCTATTGTCTTTGAACAATGTATATCTGACAATTGACAAGTAACTCATTCGTTATACTCAGTAACTTAATTCTTTACTAACGACCTATTTCCGAGCCGTTTAGATCACTCTCTTAGTAATTACGTGTATTCCTACTTTAAGAACAAAAGCAATGATAATAAAACAGCACCAACAACATCAAACAACAACAACAACAACAGCAGCAGCAGCAGCAGCAGCAATAACAGCAACAACAGCAATAATAATAATGAAAATAAATAATGTTGATGATGATGGTTGTGGTGTTGGTGGTGTTGGTGGTGCTGGTGGTGTTGATGGTGTTGATGGTGGTGGTGGTGGTGTTGATGATGGTGGTGGTGATGGTGGTGTTGATAGTGGTGGTAATGGTGGTGGTGTTGATGGTTGTGGTGGTGTTGATGGTGGTGGTGTTGATGATGGTGTTGATGGTGGTGGTGTTGGTGCTGGTGGTGGTGTTGATGGTGGTGGTGTTGATGATGGTGTTGGTGTTGGTGGTGTTGATGATGATGGTGGTGGTGTTCTTTGCATTTTAATTGAATTATATCACATGCAAACATGACATCTATAAACATCATGTACCATCATGATATGTGTTGAAGGTGTTGAATAGTTGTAAATGTGATAAAGTTTTTGGATATGGTTAGATTTTTCAATTCCTTTGATACATTAAACAATACAATACAATACTTTACAATTATTGTCTAGTGTGCCATTGAATATGATATGATATTCACCGGCAGATGACATATTGACCGAGGCGATACCCGAGGTCAATATGACTTTCTGCCGGTGAATAACACATCATATTCAATGGCACACTAGTCAATAATTGTTTTATTATATGAATAGGCTATAAGAATTTAAAAAAATCACAGAACGTACGACCTTATACATGTACAACTTGTGCCTGTTTCGATGAAGCGCGGGAAAAAAGACGCACGTGTAAGGCGTGCAACATAACAGGAACGCTGCGCATACAAAAGTAATTCAAGTTTATACTCATCATTGCGGTGTAACTTTTAACTTTAAAAGTAAAGTCATGATATTTAATCGAGAAATATACCGTAAAGAACAAAACGCAACAATTACTTTTTAAATAAGCATAAATCTTCATTTGAGTATCATATTTTATGATATAAAACCATAAACAATTTTGAGTTAAAGGATCTTTTAATATCAACTTTACTCTTGTATCAATTCCTTCAAATCATAAAATGAAAAGAAATCTTGGTAAAATTCTTGTAACTTTATTGATTACGCATATAAATTGAGGTAAATAATAATTTTCTCAAAATCAACCTGATATTTTAGTACAGAATTTAT